AAGAAAAACATTTTTAGAAAAATTGATTGACCCGATTATTTTGCATAATAATTTTCCCGTCAGTTGCCTTTCAGTAAAAGTAACAACCATGTGAGATTACATTCAAACAAATTGAATATAAGTATTGATAACCTTTATGTGCATGTAACTGACTTTCACTTTTTTTTACAACAGGGTTATAAAGAATTTAATCAATGTGCAATTAGCGAATGGTTCGTGATATTGGGATTAATTGAAATCACTTTGATAACTGGCTTAGAATTGAGAACTTATGAAAACCAATACGACGAAATAACTAAAACTGTCTGAATAAATGTGGAATAAACTTTGTATATTACAGACGATTTCCAAAGTTATTGATGAATATTTGTATATACCTATACGAAGATGTGTGTTTCAATCTGTATAAATTATTTAACTCACTTAAATTTGTTCAGCACGCGGTTACGTCAGAAAAAGTCTACCTGCTAAGGTGTAAGAACTTAAAGTTATATATATTACAAGAAACTGGATCTTTTTAAATAGGGTGAAATGAATATGGAATCCCTTTAGTACATAATAACAAACTCTTATAGTTATGTAACGTAGTGTTTCAAAGTCCTAAACCATATGAATCTAAAACGTTCACCAACATTTCTGTCAGTTAAACTTTCCACAAAATTTTAAATTTACGGTTATAAAGCTGTTTAAAGTTATTTAATTCGAATCGTTTTATAGCGGGCAACCTATAATTAATATTCAAACTTTTCAAGTGATTATCCTTTTATTTGCGAATAGACTTTTTAACTATCTACCTTTGAAAGGCATTCAAGTTTAGATAAGTTGTATGCATGAACACTCTAGGAGAATCGAAACTATTCTAGAATACCAAATTACTGTATTCTGTTCAGCTTCCACAATAATGAGCTATAGGCAATATATCTTCATTTACCTTTGGTTGAAACTCTAATTTTATAATCTCAACCTACTTATTTTACTTAATTAACTCATATTTCTATTGGTAAGTAGTTAGACATAACCAATACACCGCTCTGTTTTATCACATTAGTTTTATAGTAATCACGTTTAAAAATTAACAAACAGTATTGAGTGATGTAATAGATACATTTAAATTTTTTCAACGGGTTTTCATCTGGCCTGTACTATCAGAGACCCTTACCATTAACTTCATTCTTTTTATCAAAAAGAAGTTTTTCATACTTCTGTATGTTTCCAAGTTAAGAAAATTAAGTGATGAATTCACTAGATTTTGAAAAAATTCGTCGGCCCTGTTAGCTAGCAACAAATGAATAGCAGAAGAATAGATTTCACTAAATATGTTTAAAATGGACAGGTGAAATCTGGTATCAGCGTTTTCGATACAACTAGTGAAGATATGATGACATAAACGGATGTGTTATCAAAGTGTTCTTCCAGGAAAGGTATGCAACAACTCGGTTTTCAAAATTGTTTTTCAAACTTTTATAACTATCCTATTCCTTCTATTATGCATTCCTTGTGGGAAAAACCCAAGACTCCGCTCTAAATGCAAATTGATACTACCATGCTGCTTACTTTCGATTCAACTTGTTTATCTTTCGGGCTCGTAACGAGAATCGCGTTATCGTTCATTCTTACCTACAATTTTTTCATTTTAATCGATATTTCTATTGTGTTATATTTTTGTGTTCGTTTTTCTCTTGCTCCACTCCAGACCTTGATGATGGCTCTATTGCTTTAGATTCTTTGACTGTCTACGCATAGGTCTGTTGAATTACTCTATCATGCATGTGTAGAATTACGTTTCTTTTTTGCCATAAATGCTTTTTTCAACAAGTAACTAGTTGTGTGATAACTAAGAATTTATCTACTACAATTTTTAGACTTTTTAGCACAAAGTTTTCAGTTCAAAATGATTGTTGAATAGTTTGAAGTCAGGAAAAGTGTGAATATTTCTTTTACTGTGAACAATATATAGTTATATTTATGTTTTAATATTACTGATGTTATCAGTGAATTTGTGTCATATGATGTCTTCACAATGATAAGTGAATGATCTACTAATCAAAGTGCTACATGGAAACGTCGCCTTGAACTCCAAAAAAATGAATAACTATAAAAAATAATCTGACCGATTGATTTTCAGTCAGACTCATTTCCAACACATGACAATTTTACAGTGATAGCCTTTTTTCTAGAAACTTATGAGGAAATGATGAAACTCATCTATTACTCTCCAGAAGAAAACATGAAACCTAATCTTAACCTTGACCCTCAAAGTTCATTTCTAGCCATTGGTTTCCATTGTGATTTCCCGGACAAACAACACATTTTCTATTTCGAAGTTACGGGTCAAAAGAGTTCATTCAGTAGACAGTTAGTCAGTGGGTCATCTTTTTTGATCTACTAGAGACGATTTCGAAAACCGGTTTCGTATTACGAAATCATGAAACTATAATAGAAAAAGGAATCATATTCATTTATATTGGTTGTTTGAATATTCTTACTGATGTACAGGACTACGATTGATCAGTTTCCTTTTGGCATACATACATTCTCTGCCAATCCCACCAGAAACCCATCTTTGCCTACAGCTGATCTGAAGCCAGGATAAAGAAAGAACGTTGGGCATGGAGTTTGTCACCCCATCCCTTTGAAAACTAACTTGCCAAAAATGCGTTACCCAGGAAAAATCATTTAAACCATATAAACTCCACCCAGGCAGTTAAAAAGTCTTCATTTATAAAAGTTTTAACGCCTCGTAATGAAGCCGAGTTTATTTGAAATTCACGAGGCCGATACCCCTTCTGACAATCATAGCGACCAATAATATCTGTACGTGGAATGTCCACAGAATGTGAATAATATGCAAGATAAGGAAACATCAGACAATTATATGAAACAAGGAAGAGACTTGCTGGAAAATACAGTAAACTAAAACGACCAGTGAAAAGAAAGGAAGACAAAGTATTCGCTGACATTGAAGAACACCAAAACTTTAAGTAAAGTAATTTGAAGAACTCTTGATTTGACCAGCTCCGCTGAACTCACCCGAAATCGAAGCAGCACCCAATTAATGTTGATCCACCAATAATTGAAGAGATCATCATGACCATCAAACAAGTCAAGAGTGGCGGAACAACAGGACCAGACAACATTTCAGAAGATGCACTGAAGGCAGGTGCGGTAGTAACTACGAAGATGTTCTACGCTCTGTTCAGCAAGACTTGATAGGAGGAACGTTTATCAACATGCTGGAAAGAGGGACACCTCTTCAAAATACCGAAGATGGAAGATCTCAGCAATTGTGAGAATCATAAAAGCATCATTTTTACTATGTCACTATCAGGAGTGTGCTCAAAGACAGTTGTTAAAACGAATAAAAGATTCAGTAGATGCCTAATTTCCACATCAACAGTCTTGACTGTGTAAGGATCGACCATGTACTGATGAAACAGCACGTGACACTATAGATCATTGTAGAACAATCAATTAATTAGACTGACTACTCTACATCAACTTTCTAGACTATAGGAAAGCATTTGGTATCATGAACAGAGAAGACAGTCGACATCATACGAAATGCTTCTAGAATAAACTGCAAAATCCAGCATGTAGAACAGCCGACAGACTCGTTCAAAGTGAAGATCGGTGTCAGACATGGTTGCTTACTCTCACCACTTTTCTTTCTCTTGGTGGTTGATTGAATTATTACGTCGAAATCTTGGTAAATACATAGAATACAGTGTAAATGTCGGATGCAGCTAGACGATCTGGACTTCGTACACGGTCAAGCCCTTCTGTACCACAAAAAAAACGAACTCAGGATGAGATGGCGAGTGTAGCAGCAGCCTCTGCAACAGTAAGCCCAGACTTACACAACAGACAAAGCACCCTCCTTCGACACAACACAACATGCACCAACCAAAGCATATTTGACGATGCAGCTTTGCAATACATGGAAAAGTTTGCATATCTGATCAGCATCACTGATTTAGAAGTTCATTTGAATGATGAAGATGCGGGGATACGGGATAGAAATCAGTGGCTGTGGTTCGGCGACTGAAGAACATGTGGAACTCAAAGCAACTTTCAACTAACACCAGAGTCAGAATTATCAATGAGAATATCAAGGCAGTTCTACTGAACGGAGCGGAAACTTGGAGGACCACCAGCGGGATGGTTCAAATACATAATACAAACGAACTGATTTGCACCTAACTGCACAAGCTAGTGGCTACTTGGACTCACTAGCCAACTAGATATCGCAATGGCATTTGAGGCGAACTGTGCTGAGTTCGAGTCACAGAGTAAAAATTATCTCTGAGTCGAATGTGCATTCAGGTGACTAGTTCTAAATAGGACAAAACACGCGTCATGGTTTCCACCTCTACCCGTAGTTCTGCAAGTTTTGACCTGCCTCTTATGTTGAAATATTTGTTCGTATTATCACGCTTAAGATTATTTCTGTAATTACTACCACTACAACTAGTAATACATCAGTTTGCAATTATTAGTCATTAGGATTTGTTATATGATCTATTAAGTTCTTATTACTGACAGATAAATTCATATTCGAGCATTTATCGCTTCTTTCTGTCTTCTCAGTCGAGTCAATGCAGATATATCCCAGTGTTTCAGCACTAGCTGGAAGTTATCTGTTGTTCTGTCTAACATCAATTAACCACAGGCTTTTAATTTTCGACTTGGATTCTTTATGTCAGAAAGAGCATTGAAAAGTACCGAGATTTTTTCAGACAAGTCAAAGGTTGCTTGATAAATTGGAAGAAATACGAAGCTACTGTATTTAAATGTTACAAATGAAACTTTAGCTACGTGTAACTGACAATCAAGTATCATCAAATCTAAAAGTCCCTTCAAACGAGTTTTCGAGAACTAATTTTTCATTCTTATCATCGATTCATAAAAGAATAATCAATTCAGTATTCGTGAATATATTGATTGATATAATCTTAAAAAAGCGATAAGTACAAGATGTAATTCAAAATCACTAACATATTTTAGACTTCCTTCATAAGTTGAATTGTTGTAATACTTCTGGTTTTAGTTCGTACTAACATGTCTCCATATGTTCGTGTTTCCAGAGCAATCACTAAAGTGAACAGAACACACCCAAGAACCAGAACCCACTCAGCTATTGCGCAATAAAGAAATTCCCAGTAGCCCTGTGTATGATAACAAAATAAACATAATACTGATTTCAGAACAAGAAATTTAATTGCACAAATTCTAAAGCTCTATTTATTGAAGTTATCTTAGGTGTGATGTATTTCAGTTTCTACCACTGAATAATTGCTCTTTCTTTCTTAACTAAACTTTTTTCATTATATCAAGTGTAATCAAGTGTCTAAGAGTGCAGGAATTGTCTTTCTGGATTCAGTCTACCCAGATTAAAATACCAGAACATATGTAATCTGAAGTGGGTTCACTTAAAATTGACAATGTTAGCCGATAATATTTACAACTAAAAACTTACACCATCAGTCGGTTGCATTCTATAAATGTTCGATGTTTGCAATAATGGAAGCCCAATTATGTTGAAATAGGTAACTAAAAATATACAAACAAACAATGACAAAAATTGAAATTATTTAACCGTTTGTTAAAATATTAGTTTTGATCCCTATTTATTGAATACATGAACATTTTATCAAACATTTACCTTTGTTATAACCTAACTTGCCAACCCCTATTTCCGAACTTTATCCAACCACGTGTTGATGATTTCTACCACCTTTTAATGAGAACACTTAGATTCATTTAACAAAATCATCCATCACCATGACTAAGTGTAAATGGAACGGCGTTATCTGATAAAAATTAGTCATACCATGAAAATATTGTATTCTGATCACTAGAAAATTTAAGGGCTTAATTTATTTAAAACATGAACAATCAACTATTATTAGTAATATAGATCCAGTGAAACTCAACCAGCTAATATCTGTTATGTAACTACAGTTATGAGTAACTTTACTATATCTATTGAAGCTGGGTTAAATTTTCATTAATACTAGTTTTATCTTATGAAATATACTACTAATTAGTTCACAGTTTAATTGTGTGCTTTCAAAAGGAACGACGATCACTACTAATCACTTGAACGTTGACATAATCGTTGTTGGTTTAACTGATGTTAACCTGAATTCATTCTAATGCTCGGTACATGCTGATAAAAGTATCATTGAATACAATGGTGAAGACCATAATTCATGGCTCTTTAAGAGTAGAATAAATCGACCCACTGATATATAATCAGATGACTTGCGAAAAATTCACATATTAGACGCAACATTTTATTTCGAAACAACTGTTAGCTTTTTCAGTAACAATGAACATTTGAACAACTTCTTCTACGTTGATAAACGTTTATGTGAGCCATAAACTAACTAGTGAGGGAGAGAGAGAGATTAAAACTCACATGACAGTGCTCCGATGACCATCTTTACAATAAGCATCAAGCGAAAGCAACAAAACCAAATAGGTTTCTCAAAATATTTAGCCACTAGGTAACATCCAAGCAAAATTGACAGAACGTGACAGGAAAAGTTCCCAACCGTCATCAAATAGTGTATTCCGTTGTAATTCTCCATCTGTAAATCGGAAATAAGATAAAGTCAAGGAGAATTCAGATAAAACTAGTTGCATTTAGATTTTGATAAACAGCATCACGGCCCCAATGTAATCATTTAAATGGTCCTCCATAAAACACATTTAAACAAGTCCTTTGAGGGATTCCATAGGGTTACTTAATAAAGAAGAAAAATGTGTATTAAAATCTGACTAAGGAAAAATATAGAGAACTAGGGTATGTTTGAGTATCGATATATTCTGCAATCAGGTTTACAAGTGATGGGTGTTTTAGTTTATAGGTTCACTGATTAGCATATAAAACTAATAATATGGATACCCTGCAACCTAGTTTATGCCTCCTCATTGAGATCTTCATGTACAGGGATGAATACAATCCTATTATACACATGAATTGCTGCATCCGATCAGCGAATGAACCTTTCAAGGTCATTCGAAAAAGCAATCCAAAGTGACACAAAAAGATGATAACATGAATATTGATTACATACTTCACTACAGATTAGCTCCGACTTAAATCTGATCATATAAATAATTGTCATGTTGGAAAATAGTTGTGTTTAACAGGGTTAAGTTCAGCCGTATTTCAGTTTCACTTAAGAATTTAAGATATCCTTTATGAATTCAACCTTACTTTTTGAAAATCTTAGGAAATTAGCGTCCTAGATTCTGTTGATAATTTCATTTCATCTATTCTGTACATAGTAGTACATTTCTATGAATCAAAGGAAGACAAAACGGTTGAATATCTAGTTTAAGGTACTAGACGGCTAAAATGCTGATATTTTGAATTATCAACAAATAAGGATCTCAGATACCAGTTGAAGAAAATACATTCCTGACACTTTTTATCGATAGTTAAAAACCATTCGCAGTTTACTTGTTAAATTTATAGTAGCTCACATACATTTGAGTTTGTTTATGTTTAATTTGGTTAAGCCCTTATATTAATTAATTTGACAGATAGAGTTATTCGAACACTAACATTTTATTATTATTGTCGCGTTAGTATGCGCATTGGTTACAGCCCTACTGACATATTCATTACACTAACTTCAATGTCAGTCGCTTAGATATCTCTGTGATTCATTCGTTTTCCTGCATATTTGTGTATACATTTAAGTCCTATTAATTCACTCCTCGGTATTCGTATATCATTTATTTTTCGCTTCTAATGTCTGTGGTTTTGTGATAATAAAACCTCATCGTCTTCTGAACTGTATGCACCGTAGAGCATTAACTTGTAACGGCTATCAGAAAGAACAGTACATGAAGTCTAGGGATTATATCGAATATCCACCGCCACAAGATATGTCCGCTCCTTGATATATCCATTCTAAACCCAAATATTATAATATATGTGATACATTCTTTATAATAAAACAACTTGACTTTTAACTAAATCAGAGGTTTAATGAAAGTTTATGTCACTGTTTACTGTTTATCCCTAGCATAACCGATTCACGCAAACCATTTTTATTGATAACATTTTATACTGGTGATTGAGATGATGTTTACAGGTCTAAAGTGAGTTACTCAATTAGAAGAAATAAATTAAACTCTTTCCTAAGAACCTATAAAACTTTATTTTGGCAAAACGTTTTATTAAAATCATGTCTATAGTTGACACTTTATTATAAAGTAAACTCACATCAAAAATAGATAGACCGATTAAACAGAATCCAGAAATAATCATCAGTAGTCTGATAATTGAGTTAATTATATGAGGAATAAGGGACTGGGTCATGTTCGATATTTTGCTTTTAACCATGACGAACCAAAAATAATTTCCTGCCATATCTGAAATAGGGTTGACAAAATGAAGCATAATGTAAGGTCATTCTTTAATTTAAAGCTTTCCAACCTAAGACAATTCTATATTAGATCAGAAATTTTCTAAAAATAATGACGATCACACATTTACATTATTTATTCATTACTATTTGAAATTGGCTTTTTTAATGACATAGTTCAAAATCTTTTGGTTTATTGCATATTTCTTGGCACTACTGGAATAAATCAAAACAAAAATTACACTAAATAATTGTGTATTGATGAAAAGCACTTGAATCAAAAAGTTAGTAATTTCTTCAACCTCTCACTAGCAATTCGAATACATAGTTGTTCTTTTGAGAAAAACTGAGATTACTAATGTTTATTCAGAAAATCTATGATATCTAAAGACTAAACACATGATGTAAGTCCTTTATTTACTACGTCACTGAAATTAAATTATTCACTTAATTATTGTTTATAGTTTTTACGTGTAGACTTCTTGTCTTAAATTTATGAAATGATTTTCTTCAGATTAGAAGAAAACTTGTTAACACGGTTAAAATTCTGCTGAAATTATGAAAAATATATATCTTCCACCATTATTTGAGTTCAAACATTACATCGTATCACTTATAACTTCATTTTTAATTATACAACTACTCTCTCCTTGTCTAGTCGTCTTAACCATAAATGATACTTTTATTCTTACATCTCTTTTCATTAGTAGCCTGATAAGTCAGTGAATTATATGAGGAATAAGAGAGTCAGTCATATTTCCTGTTATATTTTTAGCTATGAAGAACCGAAAACTGTTTCCAACCTTAGCAAGAACAGCTTGACAGGATCAAGTATTACACAATGTATCGTATATATATAAATATATATATATGCACATATACATACATATATATACGTGTTGTCCCATCTTATATTTCTTGATGAAAGAAAATCCATCACTTAACTGACGACAACTTTCAATCTGAATAAATTTAATGTTAGGATTTGTAGATAATTACACTTAATTATCTTTTTTAGAAACGGCTTAAAGGAATGAAAATTACTAACTAGGTCTCCTATTTCTTTAGTCCTTCAGTCATCACTGATCACAATTGGTAAGTTGAGATGAATTCACGAATAAGCACAAGTTTCTAAAATTTAGGTTGGTTTTGTTATATTCGATTGCATCGAATTCATCTAGTAAGAAAGTACTGATGAACAGTTGTTTAATTACTTTCGAAAATTTCTTTAATGTAACATAAATTTTCTAGAAGAAACAACTAAATATATTCTTAGATGTTTTAGCAAATTTACATAGTTTTAAAAGTCGAAAAAATCATATTACTCACTAAATACAGCGTAACTAATCATCAGTACTGGAAACCAATGTTTTTCTGGTGGGAAAACTCCAAATGAACTAGAAGAAATATAATCAAACATTTAAAGACTATTTAAGATAAATTCGATTGGTGATTATTAAAAAATCTTTATCCACAGTCATATTTGGATGACACAGAAATAACGCTAACTCCGTTTTCCAATAACATAACAAAATCACTAAACGCATTGCCTTTGAATATACAAAACACCGTTCACAATTCCTTTAAATTTAATCCAAAAATGATAAAGATACTGCCAGACATTCTCTTCAGAACTTCAGCATCCATATTACTTTGAATGTCTATCATATATTGTGATATTTGGTGATCTACACATGTGGTACTCAAACATAAACTTTATATTCTAGCTTACCATCCTTTGCTAATTATAATTACTGATGTTCTTTGTCACAGATGTCTAATATTTTAATCCGCTTTTCCGTACTGAAGATGTTGAGTAAAGCGAATCAGTTGCGGTTATTAGGTTCTTTCACTTTTGAACTAGTGACTTCGACATGAATAGGAATAAATGCTCATAAACGTTTGAATATAAATTTTCATTTGAATGCATATAGATTCTTAATGCTGATATTTTTTGCGCAACCATCTAAATTTAAAACATTTATTAGTAGAAATCCAACAACTAAGTTTTCAGTAGTCATCTATTGGTTAGAAAACTATGTGCATTTTTACTAGTTACAAACAGATAAGTATAAAACTTACCTAACAAATGGGAATAAACCATTGACATGCTCATTATGGACAGAAGCTATGTACCTTCAGAATGAAAAAGTAGTTAATATTATTGAAATATGTACACATGACTAGGCATATATATATATATATATACCCAGAAAATCAAAATAGGAAATTATGCAAATAAATTTACTAGATTAGGATTCTGTGAAATTTTTTATAACCTTAACATTAAAAGTTTATTGTCATACAAGTAGGAAGTATTCATGACTAGGGATTTCACTTCAAAAGCAAAATGCTATTCATGGATTTCTGACCAGTCATAGTGTATGACTTATGACTCTCTTTCACGTTAACTTAAGCGCTTTAATATCATTGTTTACAGCATAATAGCTTGTTTTGATACTGTATATACGCTTTAAGTGTTCTTCATCAGTTTTTCTTTATGAGAAAGAACTCATATTCATTACACCACTTTCGCTAAGAAAGTCTTTTCTTCTAAATAATCAACAATAATTCAGAAACAGTGTACACAATAATTTTAAAAAGTAATCTACGAGCTTATAGGAATTCATGCAGCATATTTATTCCCTATGTGGTTTGATTTATAAGTGATGAACGCGATTGCATACTTTTAAGAACACCAATCGACTTAATTTTAACAAGTCTACCCATTATCAACAAAGCATCTATAAAATCGCAAAATGAACTGCCTATATTCAAGAAGCCATCAATTGACCACTAATATTTGATAAAATAAATTTTTTTCATTGTCATCTGTTGTGTTTTTTTTAACACTGACTTATTTTCATAAGAAATTTAATTTGCAATGAACTTTTCAATTGATCTATCTACTTAAGTTTCTCTTTACCTTTTCAAAGATAATGAGCTACAAGTATTTCTGTTTACGTATTGTCCATAAATGCATTGATGCATTTTTCAGCACCAATTCAAACGTAGTCATTTTCGAAGTTTATACATATTAACTAAACCCAAAAAATGAATTTAAATCCTAAAAGTTGCAATAAATAAAAAGTAAAATCTAAACGCAAAAATATTTGGCACTTTTATTAAACAGTGTCATTAATACATGAAAAGCCTTATATCCTCCACTATCTGCTAAATGTTAATTCTCATTCTGAACCATATATATATATATATATGTCGTTTTTTCGAATAGTTTTGAAAAATACATATTCCAATTAGAAATTCATTTAATTAGCTTACATTGAAGGTAATCCTAAAACAGCAATAACAAACGCAGTTTTGGAGAAACATACTGGTTTAATTCTTCTCCGACAAATTAACATTCAATTTCAATTGTACCGTCCAAGAATTGAGTCAACATCTAAATTCAAATAAATCATAATTCACTGAATATTAAATAGGGTTGTAAAAATAAATGTGAGCTGACTTGTAGCAAAAGAAAACTAGACACTCAGAAAATTCACAGATTCTGAAAATCAACTGAGTACAATGGCAATTCATGAATGTTATACTTCGATCGCTTGCTAAGATAAGAAACTTTATCACTTATTCAACACATGTAATCTTTCAATACTTCGAATCAGTATAAATGAGACTGGTAATATCAATGAAGCATAACCTCTGAAGCCAACCAGCTGATTTCTTTTATCCGGCACGATTGTATTAGTGTAGTATCAGAATTTTAGCCTCAAAACTGATACAATTCATAAGATGAGAATAAGTGCATTTTACAGTTGGTTAACTTAAAACACAACAGATTATTCTATTATTACTGTAATCATACAAATCACCGCAAACTGGAAAAAAATTAATCCATGAAAGATACAGTACTTGTCTTTTATTAAAATATGAGCCTCAAGATAAAGGTATGTTAATGAACAACTTACATACTCTCTTCATTAAATCGAATATAATCAACAAACAACAAGTAAACAATCAAAAGTAAATGTATAATATAAAAGAAAAACAAAACACCTCTAAATTGCATTTCAACCACATTGTTTTTCGAAATCAAACGGTTTATGATTCATAACAACTCAAACAAACTCTTTGAAATTGAAGATATTGACTTAACTTTATCTTCACGTCACCTCTAAATTGCATTTCAACCACATTTTTTTGAAATCACACAGCTTATGATTCATAACAACGCATACAAACTGTTTGAAATTGTAAATGTTGACTTAACTTTATGTTGACGTTTATGAAGATTGTGTTTTGATGCGTCAGCTAATTCTGTTAAAGAGTTTTATAATATCTGTAATAACTTGGGAGTAAGCTTGTCGAAGTGAATTCCAGCTACTAAGGCTTGTGCACACTTTGTAAGCCGGTAAATTTACAATTCAAAACATCATTTGATGTGATGAAAACCTTTCTTTTTCCCGTTCATTTATTTCATTCTTACTTAAAGTAATTACACTATCTAAACAGGTATATGCGACTGGTTAGTTTTTAATTATTTGTTATTATGAACTATAAAAATACTGATTGTTTCACTACAATCGCTTTTAAAATAAAACTAGATTAACATTGATTTGCCAAAAATAGACTAAAAAATTTTTAATCATCATATCTCAAATATTTAATCTATCTTACACAATCTCATAAGATTCAGTTGTAATACACGGTTTGAAATGGTCATTACAAACCATTCAGAACACTACCTTCCTTAATCTTATATAATTTAATTGCTTTAAATTTAGATTCCATCATTTGGGTATCACTCTAATCGATAAATTCATGAAAATATACAACTGCTTGAGGATGTACACTTTCCCTGAAAATATCTCACTTAAAAAAAAAAGTTACAGATGTTATGCTTCTACTAGATCATACAAACTAGCCAATATTTAAATCCTTTTAGTGACAAGTAAATGATCAGAATGCAAACTTACTCGTTTTAATTATGAATTGAAATTATGTTGTCTAAATCAAAGTAATGGAAAGTTAGACTTTTGTATTTAAATTAGACATATGTATATGTATATATATATGTATATAAATATATCAAAGTCTTTGGAAATGAACGTAACATTCATTAAAATCATGTGTAATAAACAATAAATCGATAAACTTTTGCTAAATGTTCGCTCATATTTCCATTGATATTAATTCCCAAAATTGACTGTTTAAAAGCATAAGCTTCACTAATTTATTTTATTTTCTGAATGATTTGACAACACTATAATTATTCATTATTGTTTTTACACTTTCATTTTAAAGCTTATTTCAATACTAACCAATTACTAAATAATATGAAAATGTTGCTACTGAATAAACATCATTTTATTGAATGCATTTTCATTTGAATGTTATCAAGTTTCAACATGTTTGTTTAATTTATGTTTATTAAGATTTTGATTTATAATTTCAGTAAACAACTCAATATGAAATCTATATAGACTAACTATCAGACAAGTAAATGATAAATTGTAGTAAATACGTAGAGGCTTTGGTTATATATCCTTTCGATAGTTTAGCACAAAGTCGAACTTGTTCATTATCTAGCAATAAACGTTGACTACTACGTTAACTAAATATGTTTCTTTTAATCTGAAACTCAGCATTATAATTTTAGATAAGGTTAACAAATACAGTTTTCACTAGCATATTAATCTTTTTAGATACTGAAAGCAACTTGCAATCAGTATCTACTACAGAACTTATACAGGGAAAAAATATTTGTCCAATGTTTCACTGATCAATTAAATCATAAGTAAAATATTGAAAAATGATTTACTTGTAAGCTGTTTTTCTTTTCTGGTATGTTATATGTCATTAATCGAAAATTCAGGTCCTAAGGAATAGAAAGATACCCAAACATTATTAGTTAAGTGAACTAATCTTAGCTCGTCGTATCATTTTACAAATATCCAATAAATAGGCACTGTAGTTACGAACATTAGAAATGGCGTTTGATATAAAATTCATTCAACTAATCATGGCACTTAAAAGATACTCATTTCTTAACTTTAACCGCATCATTAGAGTCTGTTCACAAATATAGTCGTCTATTTGTTAGGGATTCATAAAGAATTTTAATAATCTTTTGATGATTCTAAATATTTCGAAGAACAGTTTTTTTTTGGCCTCGTCATCTAGCGATCTAATCACTATCTATCTTCTAATAGAACAAATATATTTTTGAGATTTCGACAGCCCAAACACTTTTCAGACTTACATCTTTTAATGAATTCTAATTGTCATTAATGGGAGATGAACTTCATAGTTTGAAAAAATTTGTATCGAAATGTCCTCTTTCTGATTTAACCTACATTTACAAACTTATATTTCCACGTATCAACTTATATAAGTCGATGCTCATAACAAAAGTAACAGTAAATCAAGGAAAAGTACTACGCACTAATACAAGCAAACCGACTCTTGGTTACAATTAACTAGTGAGAAATCCCGTACAGTTGTACTAATGGACATTGTTTACACCGATGGTTCATTAAGTAAATGTTAGCTTTTTCAATAAATAAACCATGTAAGTGTCTTTATCAACAATATTTCGGCTTTGTACATGTGGACCATTTGATGTCGTATCTGTATTTACTTACCCACTTATTTAGAGAGTTTTGTTTATCGTTGTGGTAGGTGAAATGTGGTAGATTTGTCAATCATCGTATTATGATCAGTATATCTTCATTTCTATGAAGATTTGAGAAATAAACACGTTTAACGAATTGACTGAAACACTTTCCTGAATCAACGAAAATGATAAGGGTTCTTTCTTATGCATATTGTGACACGCAGTGATTGGACTTCAGAGAGCTAATCCTTAAATGTGACGTGAAAATAAAGCTAAAATACGGGAATTAGCTATCATCAATTCCATTCTCTGTAAACATAGAATTTTAGTCTAGACAAGTTAATTGACATTATCTGATACTGTTCAAGTAGGATTTTCTCTTTGATTGGCTCATTAAACACTTCAGTGAGAGCATATAGTTTCAATCTCCTAAGTTTATAGCACCCTACTAAGTAAATATTCCCCATTTTGACATCACAAATCAATATCTGATGTTTTCATCACAGTTATTAGTTGAACAATATCATACACTATGGTGCTGAAGCAAATGTTATAGGCTTTAAAATGCAGTGAATCTACTTATAACTATGTTCAGAGAGTTATCACTATTACTAAGGTGTTCCGTTCATACTCATGACGATGCACATCGAAGTCTTTGTTTATACATGAGTAGTATTTGAACTAAAAGGAAGTATCGTTTCCTAATGATGTTCGCTGAGTTAAAATCTCATACTTGAGGAAAGATGGTTTAACATAATTATGAACAATATCAGTAAATTTACCAAATTAGGATCAGATGTAGACTTACCTCCTACGAGGGATGTATGGTTCGATTTTCTCTAAAAATAGAAAACACTACTAATTAAGATAAAGTAGACAATATTTGTGAAATAATGAATATTGTGGTGGTTAATTTGCTGAGATTCTTTATCATCACGTTTATGCCCCCTACAAGTAACTCATCATAATTACTGCAACACACTCCCCATTTTACAATCATTTACATTTCAAGCAACTATTTATTTGCAGATTTATGAACTGAATTTTGTAATCTGAGCAAATATTAATAGTCTCGGATTAGTCGGCATTATCTTTATGCACATCTTTGGAAATGACTTTAACAAGAATGCATAATACATTAAACTCTATGATAACAAATATTTATCTGTTCATGTGAAAATGTAACTTATATTTAAAGAGCAAATAAATGGAATTATCAGTAGCAATAAACTCACTTTCAAACAATCAATCTTCTTAGTGTGAATTATTTTGTTTCAAATCGAATATATCATAGCATAATTGCAAGCGTGCAAAATATTTTGCAGCACAATACACATGATGCTCTCCTTGAGTAAAATATAACAATTAGAATAATAGTTTTAACCAATCAATCAAGAGGCTAGTAAGAAACTGCATTTGAATATTGATTGATTTTTTTAGATAATACATGTGAGTTATTAATACTTGGTAATGTAAGGGATATGATTGCATGAATTATTCTAACAATCTAAATCAACTTGAAATAAACAAATTTTAATCATACCATCTACTCAGGGGATTGAGTTCTATTTTTACTTGTGTGTTGGATGAACAACAAAACAAGTAAACATCATATTTTGAACCATTGTTACTACGTTTTCTAACATCACCAATGTGACATAAGCACATCATGTTTCAACTTAAAATGTTCGCTCTGTGAAATCAGCATTAAAATAAGATTAATAAGGAATAAATAATTTTTAACAGGATAGAAATCTTGAAGCAATTGCACTCTGACATCTAGTAAGC